AATAACACAACTAGTCACGATGACATCAAAATAATATCAAAATAATGTCGTTTTGATATTATCGTGACTTGTTGTCATTCGGAATGCTTATCCTCCTCGACAGTCAATAAATAATCGTAAAAAGTGATAAAAGGTATTAAGTGCTTTTATTCAATGCGCCTGCATAGTTTATTTTCACTTACACGTATCTGACTTATAAATGGCACGTAATAAAAATTAACGTGTCATTTCTCGTTTCTGAAGTCATAATTCAATATTAATATAGTTGTGATGGCTTCTCAGGAGTCTTAATTAATGTTTATTTTAATTTATTGTTTGAATAAATGTAAATTGCTTAGATGTAATTGATTTTAATTACAGAATTCTTTTGATAAGAGTGAAGGACCATTAACAATGATACAGCTCTTAGAAACAACTCTGTTAACATCGGTCAACTATGCAAGTCTAATACGACGACCAATGCAGCAAGATATCGCATAATGGGAAAAAACATAACGTTGCTTGAATTTGATCTTCGAAGACCGCAAGGACCTGGAGAATTGAGTGCATCTAAATACAGCTATGTTAGTAAATACTTTTGCTTATACTTATCTTATTTATTTAATTAGTGTAATAAAATACAAATAATATTAGGTGTGGGAAAAAGTTCGTGGCGTTTTTTTAATGCTATCTAAAAACGCCACGAACTTTTTCCCACATCTAATACTACAAGTACAAGTAGTAAACTACAATTATATTATGAATTTAATGAGAAGTTACAGACCGCATTTTTCATGTTTAAAACAAAATGGTTACTGCATTAACTCTATTACATAAAATGAACTTCAGAATTAGTATTGAATCCAAAATGTTCCATTGCATAAGAAATTTGTGTTAATTGCCACTAGTATCAGTTGTTATTTATTTTTGTACTGGATACGTTCATTATACATAATTACTGTGCATAGTAATTGTATCACAATGGCTTGCATTACGAAAGCGCATACGAGCGTAAAAGTATACATAATGATATCAACGCCTAATGCTCATTTCCATCAACGTAGACTAACTTTAATCTCGATTCAACTTACACTTCTTCTTTTTCTAGTTCTAAAGATTAGAAAAAGACGAAGAGTAAGTTGAATCAAGATTAAAGTTAATCTATGTTGGTGGAAATGGGCATAAATCATAGAAGGTGTTATATCGAAAAAAATATAAAGAAAGATCTATATCAAGAAATAGCAAAAACGATTTATTTCGCATAAGGCGTGAAGGTCAATGTATATCGGAACGCATACGAAATAGAGTTTATATCAAAAAAGCGAGAAGAATGATTCAAGTTAAAAAAGAAGTTATAAAGCGTAATATATTTTCTTCTTAAAAATTTTAGTGATGACGGGAATCGTCTTAATTTTTAATTCTGTTTCTCGCACTCATTCATTCATATATTATTTAATTTAACTAAATTTGTGTAATTTATGAGTAATAAATATTGCGCTATATAGATCCTTCTTTCAGATAAAGACTATATAGTTTCAACTCGATACACATGCGCGCGCGCAACACATAATATATGCTCGTGTAAAACTGTTAAAATTATTTAACTATTATTTTTAAACGTTTGTAGGGTACGGATCAACTAAAATATTTTCAAACAGAGGAATCATTGGCAGTTTTAATTTAATATTTAAATATGGATTAAAGACAATCGGAAATATTTTCATTTTTTTATTTAACAAATGTTTATAAAACATTGATTATATAATGCTAACATATTTTTAAAAATGCGAACATATTTTAATATGTGAGACGTAAATAAATTAAAAATTAGAAAGCATAAAATTTAATTTTTAATAATTAACACGTTTACATTATATTATATACGTATTAAGTGATAGATAATTTATATATTGTTTCTGTTTGTAACAATTTAACATTTATAAAAATTTTTTTGTCAACATTGAGACCCAATCGGTTTGTTTTGTTGTATTTTCATATTTATAATTTTATAATATATTTTCTTTGTTTTGTATTTCTGGCTCGTAGTCCTTTAAAAATTTTGATTTTATTTAAAATTTAAATTAAGTTAGAAGTAATTTATTGTGTTACAGATGGATTTGATGAGACATATCACTAAAATAAAATTTTATGTAAAAAATATAAAAAATATATATAATTTAAAAAAATACTGAATAGTCAAAGTTAGATGTTACGAATATATTTAATCAATTTTTTGTTCCAAATGAGATTGCACGCCGATAATTGGACTGTCAACACAATCATTACGAAACGTTTTAATAACCCCGTCTAAATAAAACCCCTAAAAAAACGTTAGAGGGAGTTATTAAAACGTTTCATAATGATTGTGTTGACAGTCCGACAATTATCGGCGCGCAATCTCACTTGGAACAAAAAATTGATTAAATATATTCGTAATATCTAACTTTAACCGTTCGGTATTTTTTTCTTTATTTGATTATTCATACACGATAGTTTTTCTTATAATGTTTAAAATAAAATGAATTTCCAGAAATTTCCATAAAATTGATTGTTTCAGGATTGGAACACATCTTGTAATATGTCAAAGACAATCGGCTCTGGGATTTTACGTTTACAAAATGATAGAAATTAATAATAAGCCGAGAATCAAACTGAATCAAGAAGTTGAAAAAGTCATAATATCAGTAGAAAAGATTATAAATTATACGAATCGGATGGCATTGATAGATCTTTACAGATAACAAGATGACAGAAGATCTACTGCAAGTTATGTAGAAGATTCTCTGTAGGCATCCGTTAGGCAACAAACAAAAAGAGCTATGTTATACCCTCTCGAGTCTCTGCACAAGATAGATATCATCTACTTAAAATAATAAATTTTCAATATAATTATAATAAATATGTCTATTAGGAATTAGCGCTGTACTATGTGCGCGATAAATTTCAATATTATTACATTGTACCTCTCGTATTTAATTAATAATTCATACCTCTTCAGATAAATTCAATTGATAAACAATAAGATGTATTGAAAACAACAGTATCAACATGTTTTTGCTATTTAATATCCGCAATGTTTCCGTGTAAAGATCAATCAACTATTGGAGAGAAGATAAAACCAGTTGATTAGCAGGATGCAATAATGATAAGCACCTTCAAGTGATTCATAAAGTTTATTCATAAATTCTAAATATAGCCGTTCATCATATCAATAATGTATTAATTAAAACCTTTATCAAAACACTGCTGTTAAACGTCATCAATGTATAATAATAATTTAATCAATTAATAATTAAAATAGCTTCGCAATAAAAATTTTGTTCATATTTCAGCACCGAAGTGAACTGTTGTCTTGTCAAATTATGAAATGTTAGGGTTTTTTCAAAAATCTTTGCTGAATGTTATGTGTCAAAATTATGTAATTAAGAAAATTAAAGCACTTTTAGGATCGGTTCATATCCTAAACTATCGTTTTTACATTTTTTGCTTACCATGTACTAAAGATTGCTAAAAAGTTAGCCAAAATATGTATACGCGAATTATTAATTTAATACAAGAGATTCAACTTAATATTGAAATTTCAAAATATTAGGCATTTTAGAAAAAAACTTTCAAATTACTCAAGTCAAACAACTTCAAGTCGAAAAATCTATACTCGATTATATATCAATCCTTAATAATTCTCAAAATACTAAAATTTTACCTTATATGATGTTGGATTCAAGTTTCTTTTATGATTGTTATGTTTCGCAATGTACGCAATAAACATAGTAACATAGTTAAACTTTAAAACTATGCACGAGTTTAGTAAAAGCATAACGATTCGAAAAACGCATGGTCCCTAATTGATAAAGCGATACGCGTTACGCAGAAAATCTGTGTCATGAAACGGCACCCTTAGAGCTTCCAAGAGCGATTATTTTATTCTTTGATCTTCAGTTTATAAGTAATGAGAGTGATGAAGATAGAATGAAGTTTACTACAGCGCATAAGCGCGTGAACGGAGCCACAGATAAAATTTCTGAGTTAATTAATCGATTGTTTATAAAAAAAAATCGATCATACGACTTGGGCTATGGTCAAAGTCTCGCTACAAATGCTTTGAAACATTTGATGGACCAATTAGAAGAAAGCATTTTATAAACTGACTAATTAAACAACGCTTCAAAGTGTTTGTAGCATCGCGTTGACCATACCTCTAATAACGTGACATACACAAATGAGTACATACATCTATCAATAGTGGCGGGTTGCTGAAAATTTTAGAGGAAAATTTTAGATTTCATCGGAAGCGCGTACATCAAAATGCGCGCAAAACATCTTTGATGTCACACGTCGAGAACGCAGAGCCTAAAAATGACAGCGGACGTACGAATGAGATAGGTTAGCGTTAATTTTTTCATCTGACAACATCTGATATTTTGCACAAGGTTAATATAATAAATTAACACACATAATTTAAATTATATTTAGTTAACTAAGAAAATTTTATGTGCAAAATAAGGTTTTTCAAATTTTCCAAATCTTATTACTTAAAATAGATAAAATAATTAATAACTTGTATGTATATATATATATATATATATATATATATACATATATATATTAAAAGTATATTATATAAAATTTGACACGTTGCATTTATTAGTAGCGAACGAACGCGATAAATCCGTCGTGCAAGCAAGTCCGGAAAGTTCTGTCAATGTAGAGATTCGGGTATCAACATCCAAAACGAGTCAAGTATTGGATAATATAAAATCTGATCCAGAAATAGAGGAAAATGACGAGAAATGTGTCGATACATTACAAGATAGTATGTCTTATTTTTATTATTAAATAATAAAATTATTAAATAAAATTTTGTATTTTATATCAAAGGAAATAATTACATTATAATTCATATTAGAACATTAATAACTATTAATCTCTGTCAGATGATTTTAAAATAAGTGACATCATATTAGAATAAAATAATTTCAGACACATGTATTGCCTCAAGCGACATTTGTAGAATCTGTCACATGGACGGATATGCCATTGCGGACAATCATCCATCATGTGACTCGGAAAATCTGATTGATCAGACATCAATTCTGTCAAATTTTGTCGGTCCTTTGATTTCAGCTTGCAAGTAAGTTTTCGTTTCATTCGAGAAAGCTAATTAGAAAAAGCTAAGATAAATTCAACAAATAAATTTATAAGTTTTACAGATCTCAGATCTCTGATTTGTCATGTAAGCGAATTATTTCTCCTTTTTCTAACATAATATTGAAAATAATGTTTATCTTTGGAAAGTAATTTTTTGTTGAATATTAATATTTTCGTATTATTTGCCGATGTGTATACCTTTTAGAATAATATTTCTACTATACATCTCTCGTTTTGTGATTCTTTTCTCATAGTATTAATTCTCAGACATGACTTACATTTAATTCAACATATCATTGATTTGAATTTTGCAAAAATTAATATCCAATTTGTTGGACATTAATATTTTCATTTAACATTGAATATTAATATTTTTAAGTCAACGATATGCCAAATTAAATGTAAGACATGTGTGTGCTTGAGAATTAAGAAAAACATTGAGAAAAAATTTCAATCAGAACAAGAAGCATATTGTACGATCCGAACGACATGCGAATAACACATAAATCGATAAATTATCATTGCGAAATGATATAGAAATCGTGAAACGATAAGAGATTCAGCTTAATTAAGAAAAGCTGTCCTCGTATAACGTTTAATGGTGCGACAGATGTCGGGGTACAGTGGCTCTGGTACACGTCGAGTGCCTCGAGAGATGGCTAACCGAGTCCGGTCGTGCGAGATGCGAACTTTGCGGTTACAAGTACGCAATCAGGAGGGTACGGCGTTACAGCCTCTTTCAAAGCATCTTAATATGGTTCCGCACTATAATAGCTACTCGACAGGTGAGAGAGATCATTACTCGCTTTTCCATCTACTTTCATTTCAGAAAGCGCTAGACCTAAAGCCTCTTTAATTAAGTCTTTGAATGACACTCTATCATTAATATACATATAAAATATATTGCATTAAATACTTTAAATCAATATTAGGAATATTATAAAGCTATAAAATGTTGAATCTACATGGAATATTATCGCTGTAACGACACAGCAAATCATACAAAATTAAAATTATCTTATAAGTTGTGATAGAACGTTTAACATGATATAGCTCTCCGTGTAATTAGACTTTTAATTACGCTATTAATTATCTCTATTTAATACATTCTTTTTTTCGCGAGAAGATGCTACTTGACATTGGGTATTTGGTAATGACCACACCTGTGGCTGTGTTTTCCTGCTATCTGTGCGCCTTGGCCTTGAAAATGTTGATGCGAAATGGCTTTTACGAGATACCCTGGATGATAGTTGCTATGCTGCCAACCTGCTTATTGACGCTGATAGCTTATTGGCGATGGATAATTACGTTAGGGAGGTACGCTATAAAACTTAAATCAGCTCGCGCTCGTGCGCGGATAAAAATAGTCATTAATGGAAATTAAGTTAATTAAAGTACTATCCAGCATAATTATAAAAAAAATTTGAGAATCTAAAAGCGATCTCGAAATTAATCTCATTGAAAAAAATAACACTGATATTTGATATTTGATCGAGGTTTCTTTTTGCCTATCTGAATGATGACTTATGTATTTTTACTTACTGGAAAAGAATATAAAATTAAAAAAAATTCTATTCGCTCACAGATTTTAAAAAATCAAAGACTATTTTTTAAAAAATTTCACAAATTTAAAGTATTATATTAAACTGCAATGTGAATACACAACAATTAAGAATTAAAGACTTGGATCTTCAGTGCAATTCCATGTATCACAAATCTAATCCTTCAAATTGCGCGCCGAATTTATTTTCAGACATGAAACGCAATCCTAACAGAATTATAGCGAATTTGATCATTTGAACTACGCTAAATCAGTGAATACTAAAAGTTGCTATACACAAAATTAGCAAAGTTAAATGAAAATATGTAAATATTTTAAACGATTAATTATCTACTAATGATATTGTCATTATTCAATAAATTATACATGTATTATTTAAAAGAAAATTCAAGAAAAATTAATTCGGCGCGCAATTTGAATGACTACATAGGTAATATTCATAGGGCAATATTCATAATATATTCTTATATTCAAAACCATCTTAAGTACAGCCTTAACATGTCACGAACCAATCAGAGAGCTGTATTAATATCTTAAAATATTATTTAAGATCTTGAAATAAAAACGGACTATGAATACCAGCTAATAATTATTTAGTTGAAGCTTAAGTAATTCTACGTGAATTACTTAAGTTTGACCTTTAAAAACCTTCTTTCTTTTCTTATTATAATTTCTATAGATTGCCAAACATTGATAAAATCAACACAAAAGACAACTTTAAGATATTTTTCAAAGAGTTTTTTATGAAATATTAAAATATCTTAAAAAAACAAATCAGCAGCCCCGAAAACTCTTAATACTACATTTTTTAAATCGGAGAATTTTTAGTATTTTCATCCGTCATATTGGTTCAGTCATTTTTAATTTTTGAGTCCTGATTTGAAATCAGCGATCCTTTCCCGAAAAAAAGCGAAAACTTTCCCGAAGAGTGTCCTTACATAAATCTCGAAAAATTGTTCAAAACCGGCATTAAAACTGTAGGTCTCATATGATCGTGACAATTAAATAATCAAATAATCAGTATGCGCACCATAAGCATATGAGAAAGGTGTAACATAGGCCAGAGGTCTAATGTAAGAAGAAGAAGAAGAAGAAGAATATAATTCACACAGAGAATAATTTTTACGGCAAATGTTACATTGTATTCTATTCTGAATTTTATTATATTGTTGCCATAGCCAACTTTCACTTTTCGTATCTCTTTGTATTATTTTCTCCAATACTTTTTTAGTTTTTTTTTTTTAAATAAGCATTTTGTACAATTTCAATGTTAACCTTACATAACATTTTTAACTCTTAATAACTTTATTAATAACTTTATTACGCAATCACTTGTTAACCAAGAAGGGAACTTCTTTGTACGATGCTTGTGTTTTTCTCACTTTCCGACTGGATAGAAGATATTCTTTATTAATATATTAATTATGTATTTGCTGAAGATGGCTAAAACCTATAGCCGAAACGTTCAAACTAACATCTTTTAATATATTACATTATACTATTAATGATTATATAATTTAATATTATAAGTGTAGATTGCGCTCCTCTTACCGCGCTGACTCCTAGCCCCCTTAAATCTGTATTATATTTTTAGTTTTTTTATTTAAGTCATGCTTGACCAAATGGCACGCTAAATTATATCATTTCACAATACATTAAATGAGTAATAATAACAAATCTTATAATTTATCATTTGATGTGTTTAATATAAAATGTGCTGAATATCCACGAATGTTCAAATTCTTTTTTTATGTTTTCGATTATTTGTGATTTATGATTAAGATGATTCTTTAAACAATATACTAAATATCAATTTGTAAGATATTCATCACAAATCTTACATTTTAAAGCGTATCTTTCTTCTTATGTGAAATAACCACGCCATATCAGATCGTTTCTGCAATTCGTGTTTCTTCATCGTGAAATATTTTATGAGCACGAAATAAGTGTACTTTTAATGGTAATATGTTCTATGTAATATAAGAACAAATCTTGCAATTTTCTGTTTTCCAATTTATTATAATGTTGTCGTATCCAACTACTATTTCTTTGCAGTGCTATCACGTCTGCACAGTACGAGGGTAGTTCGATTGCGTGTGATAGCAATTCGAAGTGCAACTCATGAAGTTTTGCGACTGCAATTGCAGAAGTATGAGCGAGTGCATTATCTTGATGGAAAAGTATCTTTTTCTTTGCCAAATGCGGACGTTTGACTTTAATAGCATCGTTTAATTGCTCCAGCAATGCTAATACTCTTCGTTGATAGTTTTGCCTTTTTCTAAAATAATTTATAAGCACCATTCCATACAAATTCCGATACCATCTCTATGTCAGGCCGAGAATTTTTCGAACTACCCTCTTATCTTAAGCTAACTTTTCATACGCAGCACGCTGCGGCAGCAATTTGTTGCTATTGATTAAAAGTTTTACATGAGATGACGCACTTCCAACGCAAAATACATTTTGCATCCGATTGAAGAATTCAATCGAACGAACAACGAGCAGTAAGGAATTCAAAGCCGAGAAAATCTGTAATATTTGCAAAAAAATGTGAAAATTGAATACGTTTACAATGAGTACATTTTTATTAAGATTTGAAGTGATGTAAATACATGTAGATGTAAATACAAAAGCAACAATGTTTCTAAAATTTTTATTTGTGCGCAAAAATGCATGTAAGCAATAGCAATTTTGTTGAAAAAATAGATGTTTAAAGCAAAAATATAAGCCAAATACACTTTAAAAGCTTATTATGTTCTTAATTATAAAATTGTTATCTTGTAGATGTTCAATAATTCCATTTTGGAATTAACTTCTTGAAACAGTTGAGAGCATCTTGAAAACAGTAATGAAAATAGTATGGAACATACGATAATAAATCAAGAGCTACATCTTCATCGAACGAAAACAAGATGAGATTATATTTCGAGATTAAATTTATATACAAGTTTATGCATATAAATATTTTTCCAGAATGGCCGTTGACCCATAATTTTTTTGTGATCATTAAAATAATTTTTTAAACTATTATAATTTCAATCAATATTTTTGAAGAAAGTCCATAATAAGATTTGTGTACAGTTAGTCAAAGAAGTGTCTGGAAGACCTTATTTGTCACTAAATTATATGTGAAAGGTTACATTTTCAATTTTTTTTCTCTCTTATTTTATTGTTAACCTACCGTTAATCTACGTGGAATTTTGCACATGTTAATTTCGGTACTTTAATTTCATTATATATGTATAAAAAAATTAGACATTTCTATACTCGATTTACTAAACCACCTTAATCAAAAATTGTTGTTTAATATAATTAAAAAGCAATCTGTCCCGTGTTATCACAGAGATCAGTGAAAATCACATAATTATGTAAATCGTTAAAATATATTCTTCTCATAAATTGCAGATTGCATGGCCATCGATGGAGACGTTATTGGAGAAATAATTTCGTGGTTCGTTTGATTCCCGATAACGACATTGAGAACAGCTTCGATTCGCAAAGCTCGATTGAGCATTTTAATATGCGAGACGATTTTGAACAATGGAGACTCGAGGAGAACGACGAATTCGCATGACTTTTGAGCTTGTCAACCGCACGCCATATAATCTTTAATTACAACAACTGTTTTCTATTTTTATATCTTCGTCTTATTGTCGGAATCTTTATACAGCTGCACTATTTAATTGCAATTTATTAATTGGACATTTCAATTGAAGCTCATTGCCGCATAATAAAGGTGATTCACTATATCAGAGTTAAATTAAGATGCGCATATTTCGGAATGCTTTCAGAAATTCACGCGTGCACGGATTTTATAATATTATTTAAATATCTTGTATTTTTATATAATTCTAATGCTTGATTAAAATAATTTAAAGATTATTGATGTTTTGGCACTCTCATTAAAATGTCTCGTGTAACGAGAGAGAAATATGTTTGATAATTCAATGATAAAATAATTAAGTGCTCATACTTTTTATAGTTATTATTCTATAATATTAGTAATAATAATTACATTTATAGTTCAACAAAAATAATATATGTTGACGTAAAAAATAATGACTACTTATAGTTAAATTCTGGTAATTGCATATTTTTCTCAATTATTTTTTATTGCTTTTCATTTCTGATAATTAAACGGAAGTGTCACAAACTTATTCTTTTAATAATAGTAATATAAAACAGATAAAACTGCAGAAAAGAGAACTCGCTGACCTTGATCTTAATATATGTTATCAAGATCATCACCCTAAATAATTTCCAACAAGTTTTAGCTGTCACTCGTTATTTGTTAAAAAGTTTAAAAAATAATCTAAAAAAAGTTTAAAAAATAAAGTCTCTTTTCTACAATATAAAACAAAAATTTTCTGCTTTAAAATATATTTTATGACTTTCCACGCAAAGAGACTCCCATCCCACCTCCCTCCTTCCTTGGAGACGCACGAAACGATTCCCGTGAAATATTTTTATACGGACAGCAAAAGTGGATGCAAAAGAACAGGAATCAAAGGACAAGTATGAATAAACCTGCTTTCGAATGATCCCGTTTTCTCACTTTCGTTTTATTGAGAGCAATTGCCCGCACGCGGCTGTATTATTTATGTATGTCTCGTACAGTGAAAAAGGATTAAATTCATTAATGGTCGTGTTCCTGTCTACTCGCCATGTCGCGTTGTAAGATTCTCAAAAAAATCTGAATCACCATTAATGTTGCAGTTTTGTCGTCGTTTGCGTTTCCTCATTACAATAAACTATAATATGTTATTCAAAAAATATTGATACGTTGTATTTATTGACCATTATTGATATTTTACGACCTATTTAAATTATCTTGGTGTCTCGGAACTATTAATCATTAGGCACCTGAATAAAGTAAACAAGCAACTTTCATATAGACGTTTATTGATGCCTCGATAAGAGCGATATGCATCTCGTTGGATTTATGTTTTTGATCCGTGCCAGCTTCTAACAATAAACGGATCATTTCTAAATGTCCATTAGAACATTGTCATGGCCAATGTCATGGTGTCTTTTCAAATTGATTAGACTGCCATATATTAAATGTTACAGACGGATTTAAATGTCACAGAAATGCTAAAAGTTCTCCATTACTCAACGTTACGGAAAACGTTTTCTTAATATTTTTTCAACGTTTTCGTCCTACTCGAGTCATATGTTAAATTTTTAATATTATGAATATTTGGATATACGTGCATGCGCATTAACCAAACAGATGAATGAGCTGTTAACAAATGTTATGATATTTTTATTGTGCATTCAATTGTTGCATATTTTTATTGAGCATTCAACATTTTATTACAGTGCGGCAATGTATTTGTTAACAAATTTGATGTTATTAAACAAGTATTAATAAATGACTTGATTATGTGTTCTTTTTACACTCTTCTATTCTTCTAAAATAATCTGATGAGCAATGTTATGTGTGTTGTTCTACATACTGCAATTTTTTACGATGTTCTTTTTCATTAAGTCCCTCTTTCTAATTGTTGCAGATAAAACTTAACAAAATAAAAATACGGTTTGCCGAAATACTCCGCATCTTGTAAGAATTGATATCTATTGCTTATTCTCGGGGCAATTGTTTCCAAATTTATTACGAAAATATTATATATATTTTCCGACTTGATGTTAGGACCGTGGCACATAAACAATATAATTCGAAAAGTGATTTGAACATTTATATGAAAATACACACTGAGAAAAGTAAGTTTGTTATTAGAACAAAAAATAACTTATGTGATAATTTAATAAAAAAATAAATCGATCAGTTATTGCGAAATATTTCTTATTATTCGATGTAACAAACAATAATTAAGTAACAAACATAGTTTATACATTTGTACTTTGTTTCTTATTAAATTATACATAAATCATCTTTTCTTACTAGTTTTAATGCTTTTGATAATTATAGTTTTATTCTTCTGAAATATCGATATTCTGTTAAAGTTCTTAAAAACCGAACAAAAGAATCCTAGCATGTGTAACTGAAGATAAATATTCTTGTCCTGAAAAGAAAAGATTTTCCTTTCTTTTGTAGTGCGCTATGTTAAAATAAAGAAAATTCTCAAAAAACTTCAAAAGTTATCTTCTTCTTTTTGTTTTTGAACAGAGTTGCTGCATGTAATCTATTGTCGCTTGATAATAGTAATGTTTTAAACTGTATGGAGGGAGAATATAGAGTTAGGCACATAGGTATATATAGGTTTCAACCCGTCAGAGATCAGTTTTTGTTTGTTTGTAGCAAAGAACAAAATTGGAATCAAGTAACTGGAAGAAGTTTTACGTACTAAAGGAAGGCTTGCTGTCGTAAAGTATATCAAAGTTGATTGTAATTAATGTACGATGTAGCGTCAAATGTAACTAACTACTATTTCAGTATAAAATAATAATTGTTGCTTGCGAAAGCATTCATGTTTCACGTAGCACGAAAGATTCGAAGCTATCTTAAGGTATATCAAATTTTATTTTGACTAAATTCTTATTTTATCCAAATTTTATTTATTTCAATAATTTTATTATCATTTCTTAATGAAAATTATAACTTCGTAGATGTACCATTGAGTATATAAAATATATTTGAGAAGTATTCATTTTTAATAAGAACAAAGATATTGGAACAAAGATGTTGCAGTGCGCTGCGATAAAATAAAGAAAATTCTCAGAAAATTTATTTTCGAAGATTATTATCTTCGTATTTTTTTGCATGTGAAAACAGAGTCTGCATGCAGTCTATTGCAAGACATTCAATTTGTCATCCGATTTTGCACTACAAAATCACATCTAAGAGACCAGATATCTCTAGATATCTGAAAGATATCTTAAACTGTTGCATAAGACATCTTTAGATCCTTATAAGATTGATATTTATCAGCTAGATTTTATATTCAAGACCGTCTTAAGTGCAGTCTTAAGAAGTTACGAACCAATCAGAGGGCCGTATTAGTGTCTTAAGACATTACTTAAGATAGTCTTGAAATAAGAACGAACTACCGCCTTAAAAGATGTCTTTTCGTAAAAAATGCAAGAGATATCGTGATTGACACATTAGATTTGACTAAATTATTATCATGAAAAATATCGACAAATAACAATCAACAGTTTAAACGAATTCGTCGAAAAATTTTGAACCATATCATTGAAATCGGCTGCTTATTCGATCTTCAATGACTGTTAGAATTGATTCATTAATGAGTCGATTCTTTCGTTCGTTGATGCATTAAGTTTAATTAAAGGTTTCATTAAAACATGATATTAATCAATATATTTTATATTTCTTTTATCTCGCCAACGTTGTATATACTCGTTTTTACAAAATAGAATTTTTCTCTTTAAAAATGAGATTCTCGTGATCAATGCAGTTGCTTAATCGAGTAACATTATCGATGATGGTTTAGCGATGTCGATAATGAGGTATCAAACACATAAAATAGTTTTACTCAAGTAATTCTACTTGATTAATAAGATAAGATCTAGCTTTCGAACCAGAGAAAATTGAAAATCGTGATGCATCGTTCTCATTAATACGTGAGAACCTAATCAACTTTGCTACTATTTAATAATGAGAACCACTGCTCGAAATCCCTACGACGACCTGCTGCATGCAGTTTACATTTTAATGCGCAATAATGACTGGCATGCGTCGTCGTTGATTCATAACGGAATAATTATACTTGTCTATCGCGCTTCTCGCTCGAAACAAATTTTCATACAGAAAATTTAATCTGTATGAAATACGTGTATTAATCTTCATAAGAAACACAAATGCGTAAATAAAATTAAATTATTAATTCAGAATAAGAATTTATTGCATTCACTCAGGAATACTCATCTAAGGATTTTTACATTTTAGAAGCAAGAAAATGAATACTTTTCATTTATATATTATATAATGACAACACGTTATTATTTCTTAGCATTAAATAATAATTATACCCACGTAGCACAGTGTTAGCTACGCTAGCTTATAAAGCACTAAAAAGCGTTTATGCAGATGTACGTCTCTAGTAATTTTTTAGCGCTTTTAAAGCTTTTCAAAATATAATAAATCAATATCTTTCTCATAATTCTGAGTTTTGTTGTAATAAAAGGTCTTTCCTTCAAAATTGAATTCCTTCAAAATTACTGTGATGTTAATTTTATTCTGTAATTCAAATTGAGGAATATCTTGAATCTTAACTGAGAAATCAATTCCTTTAGCAAATTTTTATATTCAGTATGTATTATATTTTGAAGCCCTTTTTTTGGCGTGCACAATGCATATTGAACTGAATATCTAAAACACTCATTATCATTGTTTTTTACATTGATGCATATTTGTTTTTCTTTAATCCATTCTGGAAGTTCTATATATAATTTTCCACTTAATGGTATTATTTGTATTTGTTTATATTGATTTTTGAATAGTTTACTGTCTTCAATGTCCAGCCTGAGCCTTTATTCTTTGATCTACAGAATAAAAATTCATCACATCTTGATATGAATAAATCTTTTTGTTCATTCTAATAAGTTTCAAGGCTATCGTTTTCATGCTTTAAATGAGTTAAGTTCCCTCTT